AAAAGTTCGTCATGTGATTTATGTTTTTATAGAGATCCCTGTTATCTTGGTTATGAGATTTTATGCAGTTAATTTGAACTTTTCAGGTTATATCCGGAATTAATGTATTTGGAGTATTGAACTCTCCTCGTACTGACGGTACGGAAGCATTGGTTCTTAGCGCACCGTGGAGATCTAAAGATGGCGTAACTAGTAAGATTATCGAATTATCAATGTGGACTCCAAGGTTAATCATCATTAACTTAATATGTTTTTCTTTGTATTAGCCAATATTAATGGAATAGCTGCTGCTTTATCGTTGGGCAAATTCTTTAAAAGTACAGGTTCTTGAATACAAATTGACAATAAATTCTAAGGGATAGTATTATTGAACTTTAAGATCTTTGTAACAACTATTTAAACTTTAGATTATACATATTGGTCAAAGGATATTATCATTTTGATTTCGGATGGGGGTGAGGCTGGAGTACAAGCTTGGCTAGAGTCGTATCATGATCATAAACAATCAGGTAGTGATTCTATTAAATATTCTATGGCATATTATTTAAGTATTAGCTACCTCTGATATTGTTATGTGCTTTGACCAGGTATCGAGGCATCTCCTTTATTTTTACGGTCAGGAGCGATACAAGCTGCCATAAATTTGGATTTTCCAGGAACTAGTAATTATAAGGCATTAGGATTGTTTTTTGGTATAAACCTAATATAAATTTTAGATTCAACTCTACAATACATCATAATTGATGGCTAAAAATCTTATCATGCAACAGAAGGCCTCAATGGACAACTTCCTAATTTAGATTTGATTAACACTGTCGTACGAGTGTGTCGTATGTCAAGTAACATTCCCATAATGCTTCGTGATTCCGGACGCTGTTATACACATCATGATTTTGGTGATTACCAGTCTTCTTTCTATAATCTAATAACATTTATGAAATATCAGGCTCTAGGACATCCAACTGGAAGTCATGGCCTGTTTTTTAGGTAAATGACTGACCATAAAGTGTTATTTATCTGAATAACTTTGAATATTCATGAGTTTAATTACATGAGTAGATATAAAATTGATGCGATTACTTTATATGGCCAAGTTGATGCATCAATTGGAAGTCCTTATAGTTTTTATGAAATTGGATCGTACGTTTATAGTCATTTAATTATTCATTTTGCTTTCAAAATCTATATAAATTTGTTATTATGCATCAACTATCTAACTTTGTCAAATCGACATCAGCATTGTAGAGTCAACATTTAGGAGTCTAAATAATCTATTAGAACATCTCCACCAATCTTTCTTCTTTTACTTTTCCATCGGAACAATATAGCAAACACACATATATATCAGAAAATGCTCTTCTTCCTGGTCAGGTTTGTAACTTTATTTGCTCAATTTTATGTAAATATTGATTTAATAGCCTAATCTGCATTAAAATCCTAATAAATGTAGGTTAATACATATTACGGCTGGCAGCAAGTATTTGATGCCACGGCTTATAGAGATCGCATCAAATCAATGTCAAATTCATCAAATATAGAGTGTGCTTCACTGTCTATATTCATTAATTGTTGCTCTTATTGAAGATATTATGCTTAATTATTAATATTATAGGAAAATAAATTACATAGAAGGCGAGTTACGAAGAGCTGGACTAAAAACAGCTACACAAAATTTTACCGCAATATCCTCAGGAAAAGTTCGTCATGTGATTTATGTTTTTATAGAGATCCCTGTTATCTTGGTTATGAGATTTTATGCAGTTAATTTGA